GTGTGTGTGTGTGTCTTTTTTTTTTGTAGCAATCTTTGGGTCTTGGTTCCTTTTCTTTTTTCCTGTGGCATGCCGTGAGCCTGGTTAATCAGGCCTAAGGCCCTAAGGGAAGTTTATTTCAAGCACAGCATGTGTCTTTTTGGCCCGTTTTGTTATTTCTCGAGTTCTGTTTGGCTTCTCAGATTTTTGTCTGTTCCTGTTTTTGTTTGCTTTGGGGCAGTGTTGTTTCGGATTTTCCATACCTGTTTCAGGACCAGTGGGGTCTGGTTCACACACGTTCTCGGCCATTTGAGGCGCAGGAGGCTCTTACTGATTTGGGCTAGACCTTTGGCTCATCTGGTAGTGCCTCATCCAGCCCTTGTCTTCTCTGGGCCAGCCGCTGCTGCATCAGCAGGTAGGGCTGCAGGTCCAGTAGGGACCCAGTTTGCTCGCTTTAGGCTCAGGGGGTAGTACTTGCGCATGCATTTACAACCATCCACTGTTGCTTGCGATCAGAAACCCGTGCACGCAGACCAGTATCAAGACAAGGCTGCAAGAGACCCTCTCCTTCTCCCTCCTCTTCCTGCATTGAAACTCCTGGAAGTCTTCATTTTTTCAAGGCATGAACAACAGGGTGGCTTCTCCTCTCCTCCTCCCTCCTCTTCCTCCGCCCGTCCTCCTCCTCCCTAAACCCCTCCTCCTCCCCTCGTATTCTTCCTCCTCTTTCCACTCTACCACTCCTCTTGCAGCTACATCTCTCCCTCACCACTGCTTAACTTTCTCTTCTTTCCCTCACCCACCTCCGGATTTCCTTCTCTCCTCCTCTACTCTTTTTCTCCAACTGCTTGTCCCCTCTTCCTCCTCATACAGTTGTTCTCCGCCTCCTCCCATCACTGCTCTTCTTCCTCCTCTTCGCAGTGCCACTCCCCTTGCAGCTGCTTTTCTTCTCCACCTTTGAACTTCATCCTCCTCTTGTCCTATTCCACCTTCCACTCCTCTCCTCCACCTCTGCTATTCATTCTCCTCTCATCCTCGTCGCTCTCCCAAGTCATTTCCACTTCCTCATATAGTTGCCCTCCTACTACTTTCCTCCTCGCCCCGCTGTCGACTAATCCTCCTTCCACTTCTCTTTTCCCCATGCTACTCCTCTGTTTGGTGATGATGACACAGGGTGACATGTATGACTGGGCGGCTCCTCCTTCCCTGATCATCTTCTGCTCCTCGAAAAGACAGCAGCTCCAGGAGCGATGGTGGACGACAGCAGTCTCCAGTTGCAATTGTGCACAACAGGTACATTGCCCACCCCCCCGTGTTAGATTCACGTCGCCGCCAAGGAAAAAGAAGGTTTCACATCGCTCTCATGATGTTCGCATGGCATGGCACGGCACAGCAGCGCACCGCATGGGAGGGGGCTGCATACTGCCTCACGCACGATGATGCTGTGCTGAGCACCACTGGGAACCCGCACCGCACAGTTTGCAGTGCACTTGCAGATCCCAGAGCTCGACCCCCAGACCTCACCCTTACCCGTGTACAGTACCGACGACACGTGTGTGCTTGAACCCACGACCTGTGTTTTGAAAGCCGCCTGTTTGTTTGCTGTAGGTAGGGTGGTCGTCGGGTCTTGAACCATAGGTCTGTAGGTTAGAGGTCTTAGCAGTGGTATGAGTCATAGCTGTAACAGTGTTGAAAGGTCAAGTTAAAGCTGCTACAGTGTTGAAGGGTCAAGCCACAGTCTTCCGGAGGTTCCGGAACTGGCCTTTCATGAGTCATAGTAGTCAGTCCGTAGTCAACTGGTCAAGTGGGTAGCCTTACCTTGCTTAGTCAGCGGTACCCAGTCCCAGTCGCACCTTGTCAAGTCAGCAAGTACTATGTGGGACTCTGTGCACCCAGGGCCCAGTGGAGAGGGGCAGACCAGCGACAATGCCAAGTATAACTAAAGGCAGCGATCAGTCATTCATTCATTCTGCCTGTGAGCTGTGCCGAAGCGCTGTCGAAGTGTCTTGTTTGCGGAAGTCTGCACGTTCCCATGGACGAAGAGGGCTAAGAGGAGGAGATCGGCCATAGCCGATAGCTAGTTAGTGAAGGAGAGAGATGGGGGCCATAGCCACCACGTCAGCA